CTCCACTGAGAGTGGAACCCCCCCTCCCTGACCACCGACTACCACCAGACAACAAGAGGAATGGATGAGGTCTGGTTAACCCTAGTGCCAGAAACTGTTACATGGGAAGTCATACCCACATTTTCTTTTTTAATTGCAAAAGAAAACCAACAAAATATTGACAAGAAAAAAAAGACACCAGACTACTGTCAAAATGCTTCAAAAGAAAATGTTAACCACAAGAAATAACTCCTATTGCTAGCACTTTATTGAGAAAAAGTGTTTATATTGTCAACAAAACAGTGCTTATACACAGTACCTGCATAGAGGGCACGTGAGGGCCAGTGTAAAGTTTTGCAAATTAGATATTGCCAAAGTCAGTCAAGTGGGGTATAAAGACTAGAGCAAGCAAACACAATGCTTAGATGGCAAAGATGAAGATTGAGAAATGGCTACAAGTGACAGTGGAGATATGTATGTTATGGAATTATAATTTTCCTATACTGAAAATGTATTTCCGATAGGTACTTTCATCTTTTCACAAGATTAACTTTTCTCATTTTGTACCGCTCTCTATATGCAAACGTTTTTTATGATGCATGCCACAAGCCTTCCACACTCCACCAATTGGAATCAAAGTTCCAACACGTTTCTCATGCAAATAATCAAGCATAATCTCTCCACCAACAGGAGAGCACTACTATCACGTGATGCATGTGACTCTCTCTATGCACCACTACCAAACAATCACTTCAAAATTTAGCAGAACACATAAGCACTGGAAGATTGTGGGGAGGAGGGGAGGAACTGTGAGAAAAGGGAAGTATGTATTGGAAATACATTTTCAGTATAAAAAAATTATAACTTCTGATATGGTACTTCCCTTTGCTCACAAGGTTAGTTAGAATCCCACATTGAAAAGGAAGAGGGACTGGTGTGAGGGATGAGCAGATGTGCTCCCTGAAAGCATCCAAAGGATACTTCTTAGATGATCTGAGGAGAGGCACTGCTCCACTTCTGAACCAGGTATCTTCTCATCATGAACAGCTAGGAACAAACATGGGGAAAAGGAAGGAAGCACATGAGAGTGGGAGAGGATAAGTCAGGAAAGTGATCCCAACCACATAAATATAGAAATTCAATCCCACAGAAGTAAAGTGGGTAATGGCCTGCTAGATGGGTTCCACATAGATGGCTATAACCATTCAGTTCACACTAGGGTGGTGATGAGTTGCTGGTGTAGATGGCGTAACATCCACCAGATTGAGTGACACCTACCATGGATTGAGACATATAAATGTAGTTCACACCTTCAATTGGGTGCCCTCATCCTACCCTCTCGTGGATGTCGGTACCCAGTGAGGAGGTTTTGGATGTAGTTGACTTACTGAGGATGGCCTGTCCCACCCTAGCCATTCTACACAATGGGATGCATTTTAAGTGGTAAGAACTTCCATACTCCACTTGAAGAAGGGGGGGAAAGAGCATTGGAGAGTCCAGGGAATGGCTACATTCGGGACAAATCAGGACAAGGGTAGAGATAAGAAATAGAAGGAAGAGAAATGGATGCCAAGGTCCTGGGAAGGAAGGAACAATCTGGATAAAGTAGAGGATACCTTTGGTGGTACAGTGTGCAAGTGACATTGATGGCAAATAGATCCAATCGACAATGCCAGCAGGCCAATAGGAGAAGGCAATACACCTTAAGGGATTGGTAAAACAAAGAGCACAAGGCAATGGGCTCAAACTTAGGTAAAGTAAGGTAATGGAGTACCACATTAATGTCTCAATCTGAAAGTACTGGATGCCTAGACAGCCAATATATCAGAAAGGATGGATCAAAATGGCAAGGACAGGGAAAAGAAAGACCCTGCAGTAACGAGAAAACTAGAAATATGGGATAGGGCTGCCCAATAACCTGATATTGAGGAGACCAAAGACCCCTTCTCAAAAAGCCATGTAAGAAACATGGAGATACCAGCTACGGTAGGATGAGAAGCTGGGATACCCCGAGCAAGGGTCCAGGTGCAAAAAATGTTCCATTTCTGCTGATACACAGCCATGGATGAAGATAAACAGAATGAGCTAAATGAAATTCCACCAGATATCCTCACCAGGGACTGGACAAAAACCAGGTGTGAAGATGGAGGTGCAGAATGCAGAACTGGTGACTGGGGTTGATGAAGAAGGTCATAGAATAAAGGTTGAGGGACAGTGGGGAACAGCTGTAGTGAAAGTAATCAAGGAAACCACAGTTAAGCAGGCCAGTAAAGAGCAATCAGAAGGATTTTGCACAGAGTGGTATGGATGAGGGAGACTACCCAATGAAGGTATCTAAAGTGAAATCTCGAGGATGGGGAACCAGGGACCAAAACAAAGGTAACTGGTGAATGGCAAATTCGTCAATATGAGGAATACCCCACTGATCACAAAGCCACCAAAAACAAGGGGGTGAAAGGACCACTCTGTTGGGTAAACATAGTTGTGTCAGGAAAGATCTGTCACAAGTTTGAAAGCACTCGGTACGTGACACACCATCAAATGACTGTAATGGTTGTGGACCTAAGATAAAAGATCCGATGTAAGAAAACAATGGGATCTCAACCAGGTACCACCACTGTTGAATTGTCAGAATGGATCATGACCAGACAATCTCTAGAGATGGGATGAAAGTGATCCAAACCCTGAGTTTGTGGACATCGGTATGAAGAGAACATTCCCTGACAAACTAATGAGCTGAAGCCTCCTGGTGATTGACCCATGCACCCCAGCCCTGAAGGGATGTATCTGTGAACAGATGTAAATCTGGCCACAGAAAAGGAAGTGGGACACCTGCCAATGTACGAGTTTTGTCCAACCACCATTGGAGATCATCCACAATGTAGGAAGGAATGGTTATAGGAGCATCCAAGGGATCCTGATCAAGGTTCCATTGGTCCTGGAGAACCCATTGAAGAAATTGCATATGAGCCCGACTGGGGTGTGAGAGGAGCGATATCCCCAAAAGCAATAGAACCCCGTGAGCAGAAAGTGAAGGAGCAGACAGGGCTTTCCAAATGGCCAGTTCCATAGAACAGAGCCAGAAAGGAGAAGATTGGGCCCTACTGAGAAAACACCCAGATTAACGAAGTTCTGGGTAAAATGAAGGAAGCACTTCTCCAATTTGATCAATCAGCCCACCCGAGCAGAATCGAGAAGGAGCTGACAAGTATGACAGGCCAACTCCCATTCAGAATGAGCAAGAAGAAGCCAGTTGCCAATGTAAAAGTGAAAGCACAACCACAGAGCATGAAAATGTAGAGTGCAAGTTTACACAACCCAACAGAAAATGTACAGCACTGAAGCCAGCTCATAGGGTAGGGAGAGAAATTGGAACAAAGCCCCATGATGTACAAACCAAAGATAAAGGACGAGAATGCTCCGATATGGGAATATGCAGATAAGCATTGGAGGTGTCAATCTTGGTCATCCAAAAACCTGAAAAAAATCTCATTGAAGAGTAAGGTAGAATTCTATGGAGAAGCATGGGGTGTGAACATATCAATTGAGAAGGGACATGTCGATGGGAACTACAAACAGGGAGAGTAAACCCTCCACCAAAATGCATGGAGCAGATTCGATAGACTGTTTTGTCAGGAGGTCTTACATCATCTCAGATAGATGCTGGCATGACAAGAGATCCCGATGAGGAGAGAAGGAAACAGGCACATGGGACAAGGGTAAGAAAAGGTATGACGAATCCCCCAAAGACTCTGGAAATGTGTCAAACAGGAAACATCTCAAAAACAGGATCATACAAAGGTCCCATAGATAAGAAGCTGGGAAATGGGCCCATGACAATATGGCATCACGACCCAAAATACCCCAACAACAAATAAACGTTTGTAGGGCAGGAGCAAAAGAGGACAGGTGGTCCAATGTGGAAGTGAGAAGGGAGAGGGCATCCCCAGAAAACCCCTCAGGGTTCCTGCAAGGAGAAATACTGCAAAAAAGTCATCAGGGTAAGAAGAAGGCAGGAATACTAAGCACCCCTCAAACAGGCAAAGCTGAACCAAACAACAGTTGGTCCATATATGAACAGACAGCCCTGTGATAAATGAGGGCATACCAATTCAAAGCCTGCAGGGACAAGGCATACTAATGCTCAGTGTGAACCCGAATATCAGGGGATGGGGGAAACTAAATAAGGTTGGGAGATAGAATAATGTAATAGGAAAGGACATGAGTCATAAGAAATAGGAGAATGAGACAAAACATCACATACCTGAAATATAGAATCCAAGAAAGCCGACGAAGGCCAAACAGAATCTTCAGGTAGGGTTTGGGAAGACAGCAAAATCAGGGGGGGCAAACGATCAAAATCCTTGTCAGCCTAGGCTCGAAAGGCTCAGGAGGAAAATGGGCAACAGCAGGAGAATCAGACGAATGAGATGTACCCAAAGTGGTAATATTAACTTCAGAATTCATGCTTGATATCAAACAAACAAGCAAAACATGGGCAAATCAAGCACTTTCATAAAATAAAGTGACAAAAATTCTTTAAATAAATCAAATTAAGTTAAACTACTTCGAGAAGTATTGAACAAAAAGAAAGACATCTGAACTCAAGCACTGCCAAACGAGAAGTGATGGTTCGGTAGTGGTGCATAGAGGGAGTCATGTGCATCACATAATAGTAGTGTTCTCCTATTGGTGGAGAGATGACGCATGATGATTTGTATGAGACATGTTGGAATCTTTGATTCCAAAATGGAGGGTGCAGAAGGCTTGTGGCATGCATTATAAAAAAAAACTCACAGGAAAAGTATCAGAAACTCTGATGGTTACTTTGAGTTGAAAGGCTGCTCACATTGACCAAGGCCATAGCAACAGGGTTAACCTCTGGTCTTGTGCATACAATTACCCCAGGTTAAACAAGATAAGGATAATACCTTAAAGAAACAGGAAATGGGTCTAGAAGGTACAGTTTGTCTAAAAGCTGATCAGAAAATGCTTTCAGTAGAAAGTGATATTAGACTCACCAGGTATATATCTGAAGTTCATTGGCTGGGACATTTCCTCTAGAATAGTCACTCAAAGGATGGTGTCTGCCTGTGCTGATAAAAACCCTCAGAAGAAGAGGGCATGTCTACAAAAAATAATATATAAATATAAACAGCTAATAAATTGGTTATATGTTTGTAAATAACTTCAACTTCTGTGTTTAAACAGACTTTAATGGACATAAATATACATATACATAATAGGGGTTGGAATTATGCAAAACACTGCCTAATTCACAACATATACACACACATACAAATGTACACAGTTCTGGAAGGTATGTGCATTAGGCATATGTGTATACAAACTATAATTAATTGCACATGTTCAGTACTCACTAAATCTAACTAAGTTTACCTCCTGTTAAGTCGTAGAATAAAATTTATATATCATTCAAACAGATATATTTAACACAACAACATTTTATGTTACTCCATACTCAGTGAGGATTCTGGAATAAAAGAAGTATTTCTTGTGAAGAAACACTAGCCATTTTATAGGTTCCTGGGTCTTTCATTTCTGTTTGTGTTTCTCTATTTTTTTTCTCAATTATCAACAATTCACCTCCACAGAGCTTCTACGAACATTGGAGAATGGTGAATGGAGGGAGATGAAACCCAGAGGCTAACAAGACCACAGTGACAGTATGATGTATGGTATTGTCTATATTTCCACATGTAGGATTTCATCCAGGGGACATCAAAGGCCAAAAACAATAGAAGCAGTGATATGATGAACTTGATAGGAGGTGACATTAAAAAGACAGAAAGTCATCTCACAGGGAAGAATAGACAAGACAGATGATTTGCTTAACCCGTCTGGTTAAAGAGGAAGGAGATAAATCTCAATAAGTAGATGGATCTCATGGAAAAAAAGATGATTTTGAGTGCCTCTAAAGGAAGCTGTACAAGTGAAGTAACATTATACTACACACACAAGACAAAGATTATCAGGGTCTTATCTACTATATATAGAAAAAATTAAAAGGAAGATGATTGAAGAAAATATCTGATCCCCCTCTAAGGCAGCCCAAGTATTGAAAAGAAAGTGGTAGTCTGGAAATAAAAAAAATCAACCTCTCCCTGAGAAAAACAGTGCAGGAGGCATCTAAGGCAAAAATATATAAGTAACATCTATCATAAGCAAGAAGAAAATAAGTCTTAAGAGAAAGATGGCATAGGGAACAAGTGGTTAAATGCTTGAGTGGAGGACTTTTGAGGGTCCTCAGAACTAAAAATGAGGTTCCAGTCTGGATGAGGAACCAAATGAAAAGGATGACTGGTTAGGAAATCCCTGAAAAGGTCTGTAAAAGCCAAAAAAAAATAAAAAATAAAAAGGAGAATGGTCCATGAAAAGATAGAATGTTGTTGATAAAGCTGCTTTGTATCCAGAGTTCATAGAAGTAGATAGATCACTTTCAAAAAGTGAGATAAAAAGGAAGTGAGATTATCAAGTTGTACAACATGGGGAAGGGACTAGTGGATGGACTAATATTGATAAACCATTCACTTGCACTGATATACCAAATAAGTGGATAGCCAACAACAGCAAGAGAATGTGCTACTCTGAGAGAAAACCTCCCATTTACCAAGGGACTGGACAAAAGCCATCCATGAAGATGAAGGTGAATCATGTTGTGGTGGAAGTTGTATGTCCGAGCTGACCTACAACTTCGACAAATCCTGACACATTGTCCACTGAAGGGCTGTAGAGTCTGGGATTGTTGATCAAAGAGTGGAAGCATGGCGCTGAGGGGTGTTGAAAAGGCCTCAATAAGAAGACACCCAAAGTGGGAAAAAAATTATTGAAACACCAGAAGAATGTAAGGATCACCCTATTGGGAGGATCCAGTTTGGTTTCTACAGCCAATCTACTACTAATTTCAAAGCTCCCAGGATGTGGTTAGTCAACAACTGGATATGATGGTCATGGACCTAAAGGAGGGACTCTAATGTGGAAAGTAGAGGTCTTGAAAGCAAGTACTTTCTTATCAAGAGATGAGAGAAACTATAGTGGAGGTATCTGAGTGGATCATAAAAAAATGTTCAGGAAGAATATGGTGGCCAACATTTTTAGGATATCAATGTGAAGAGGTCAATCCTCTGGAGATCAAACACCAGAAATATTGAAGGTGTCCATAACTACTCCTCACCAGGACAAAGAAGTGTCTGTGAATGGATGCAAGTCAAGAAAAAGAGGTGACTAGGGTTGTGGAAAAAATCCAGCCACCATGAAAGGAAGAGATGAAAAAATGGAGGAAGATAAACAAGAGAATTTAGTGGATCTCTGGATATATTCTACTGAACACCCAGAGTCCACTGAAGGAGATGCAAGTGAGCATGTCCAAAGTTAAGAGACTCAATAGAAAGGCTAACTACCCAAAAGAGACAGAACTTCTTTACTGGAAGAGAGGGAAACATGGGAGGTTCAGCAACCAGAAGCTCCATGTCTCGGAAATGTAAAGGAAAAGACTGGGACTGCCCAGCAAGCAAAATGATACAGATCCCAAAATAAATCAGACACTGAGTTTAGTTGAATAATGACATGGTGAATTTTACCAGCAAACCCAAAATAAGATGACTGCTGAAAAAGATGGGAGGTCACAGCAGAGGATAAAATGTAGTATGTTTTTTTATTTCTATTTTAAAGCAAAGCTGCATTGGGCTATCTACTGTGTCCACAACTGGGAACTGAACCCAGTATTTTAGCATTGTAAGACCTGAAACATGCTGCTGTCCCACCAAAGATACTTAAGATGGAGTGAGGAGGAGCCAATCATCAACATAATAGTGAAAAAGCAAACTCAACAAGAGCACCTTCCATGCAAGTGCCCTTACGATCTAGTTCAAAACATATGGGTCTGTAACTAACCCAAAGGGAAAGGCCCTGAACTGAAAAATCCAATCATTGTGGGCAAAACAATGGAAGTAATGATTGGCAGAATGAATTAAATGGTGGAGAAAAGTGTCCATGGAACATGGTGTTTCACAACCCAAGAGAGATCACCTATTGGAAGAATAGATACCAGGAATGAGCTACAGGATAGGGGTCAATCTATAGAACAAGATACCTGCTGGATCCCCATGGACTGAGATAAGCAGGAAAGGATAGTGAGCAGAAAGATGACTGCTGAAAAGCTGCTTCAGCTCGAGTTTGCAAGGTATGAGTGACTTCCTAAAAAACTCCTTTTGAAGGAAGGGTGTTAAGTAGTGTTCCCTGAGATAGGACTCTGAGAATTGAGTTCCAAAAAGCAAGGCATCCAAATCAAGCATATCTCACAAATAAAGAAACCAACAGAAATTCATTCAGCCCTTTGAAACAAAGAAATTAGCCCAATCTAAATATGATCCCTCACATCCCTGAAATTATCCAAAGTTAACATTTTCCTAATTTGAAAATGTATTTCCCATAATACTTACCTCCACTGACAGCTATTTCTCAACCTTCAGGTTTTTAACTTCGGCCATCTAAGCATAGGTCTCGCTTGCTCCAATCTTTTATACCCCACTTGGCGATATTTGTATTGTGATATTCTCCAACCAAGTCAATGTGCCCTCTATCCTGGTACT